CCTCTGGGCATACGCAGTGGGGTTCCTGCGCATGCCTGGAGGGGCTCGGCGCGAAAATCCGTTGAAACAGAGCTTGCTACAGCACCGGTTGGGTCAGCGCGTGCGCACTAAACCCCATTGGTGTGAAGCACAGAGACCACGAAGAAGATGAGGAAACAACCGGGTAGCCTTCCCACATGCCTGGGCCTAAATTTCACCGCTTAGTCGAGCACTTTCCATGACATTTTATTCATATCCGTATCTGAAATTGCTGTACATTGCGTTGGGAGCTGATTTTTGGCTTAAAAGTGGGAGTCAAAATTCAACATACAATGAAGTAAAAAAAGAAAAGAAAAGAGGAACATGTTGGATCACCTGCAAGGTCTTGGAGGCCTAACAAGTAGAAGAGAGCAAGGGTGAAAGGAAAGCGGGACGGAATGCATGGGGTCTCAGTGAGAAAGGCAGTCACCAAACATAGCAAAATAAAAAATGGCGAGAAACCACAGCAAGGATGCTTTCTTATTCCTGATTTCCCTGTTCCCTCATCCAAATGAAGCCCAGGAGTTCTCCACTACTTCCTACTTGCCAGCACTGAACTTCCCACATAAAATGTACAAACTGATCAATCTTATTTGTGCACCAATAAACTGGTATTCTTATCTCTTCTTTTAAATCTTGTTTTAGGTCTGTCAGCCTCTCCTGTAAATGCTTTTTAGCTAAGGAGTCTTCTCTTTTCCTTTTACTTGCCCGGGCTTCTGCTTCCTCCATTTCCAACCGGGGGCAGGGGGGGGGAAGAGTCTTCATCAGAAGAGTTTTGGTTTCCTTGCATTGCTCTAGGCATCAGTTTGGAGGGGTTCTTTCCACCTTGTGATCCCTTAGTTTTCCCCATTGTTTTGGTAAGGCTATGATATTTAAATTGCAGTCCGTGTTTTTAATTTTAATTCTTTTGTAGGAGCTCAACGCGGAGGCAGTGTTGGGTGCGGCCGCACAGCTCCGCTGTCGTCTCCCACCCCCCCGCGAATAAACTGGTATTCAGCAGTTTCAATGGGTAACTTTGTTGGTCTGCAGTAGAAGAGTCAGATTTGAGTCCAGTGGTTAAGATGCTGAACTGCAGGCTGTGGGAGGTCGGTAGTTCAGCGGTTCAAGACCCGGGTGCCGCAAGACAGGGTGAGCTCCCGTCTCTCGTTCCAGCTCCTGCCAACCTAGCAGTTCGAAAGCAAGAAATTGCAAGTAGATAAATAGGGACCACTTCGGTGGGAAGGGAACAGCGTTCCGTTCGCCTCGGTGTTTAGTCATACCGGCCACATGACCACGGAAACGTCTTCGGACAGCGCTGGCTCTTCGGCTTTGAAACGGAGATGAGCACCGCAACCCTAGAGAAAGATTCGACTGGCTTTCAAGCAAGGGAACCTTTATCTTTACCTTTTTAGTGCCTTAGAGACCAACAAGGTTTTCAGGGTATCAACTTTTGAGAGTCAAAGCCCGGATGAAGGTATTCTGGCGAAGGGAGTTTCGACTCTCGAAAGCTTATAACATAAAAATCTTGTTGGTTCCTAAGGTGCTAATGGACTCGAATCTAGTTCTTCGTATTTCATAGAATCACAGAGTCACAGAGTTGGAAGGGGCCCTACAGGCCCTCCAGTCTAAACCCCCGCTCAGTGCAGGATCAGCCTAGAACAGTGATGGCGAACCTTTTAGAGACCGAGTGCCCAAACCGCGACCCAAAACCCACTTATTTATCGCCAAGTGCCAACACGGCAATTTAACCTGAATACTGAGGGTTTACTGTAGAAAAAAACAACTCATACATTAACTTAAGATGATCCAAACAAAGTAAGGAAAGCAATCCCAAATGCTTTCATTTACTTAAAATTATTTGGCAGAGAATTTGGCACTTTAATGATGGCCTGGGCCTGGCTGGGGCGATGGCACGCATGCCCACAGAGAGGGCTCTGAGTGCCACCTCTGGCACCCGTGCCACAGGTTCGCCACCACTGGCCTAGAGCATCTCTGACAAGTGTTTGTCCAGCCGCTGCTTAAAGACTGCCAGTGAGGGGGAGCTCACCACCTCCCTAGGCAGCTGATTCCACTGTTGCACAACTCTGACTGTAAAAAAGTTTTTACATTTTTATGTACCCTGTTTCCCTGAAAATAAGACCTACCCCAAAAATAAGCCCTAGCAGGATTTCTATGCATTTGTGGTATAAGCCCTAGTGTGTCTTCTTGAGAAAAAATAAATATGACAGTGTCTTATTTTCAGGAAAACACGGTATGTTATATGGGTTGGACCCTGCTAGCAGAGGCACTTTCCCCAGTGCAAAATGCTCAAAGGCTCCTTCCACTGGAGGAAAATACCTCCACTAGTAGAACAGATCCGCACCATCTGATGTATAAATGACAAAGAAGCAAATACTGCATAAATGGCATTTTAAAAACATAAAATATATGGACATGATACAGACTAATCTACAAAGCCAGGGAGAAAAAGCTGAGCCCCCAAACCACTGACAAAAATGTAAATGAATACAAATGTTTTTTGCTTAGCCCCAGATCAGAGATAGCAGGTACCTAAATCCAATGAGGACTTCTCAGGAGATCTGGTGGACTGGATTTTCTGGTGTAAGGAAGAGCCAAGTTACCAGTTTTAGAGGGTACAAGTGGGGGGCTGTGAGACTCGGGGGGGGGATCCCATCCTCCTCTCCACCTGCTTGCCAGAAGTGGGGGGCTGTGAAACTCGGGGGGGGGATCCCATCCTCCTCTCCACCTGCTTGCCAGACCTGGTGCAGTTCCCAGGATTCTACCGCTGGCTGCCACCACCAGACCCAGAGAAAATTCCTGGGCGCTCCCACAGCTGCCGCTGGGCCCAGAGCAGCTATCTGACTCTGACGGATGATGCAGGAGGTAGACGTAAAGTTTTCTCTGCACTTGCCCCCCAATGCATTTTTAAAGATTTTTCAAATTTTACTGCAGACCTGAGAGGGCCCCCCCTGGTTTGCAGGAAAATCTGTTGTATGTCGGTATGGCCCCAATCTACGGATTTAGATATCTGCAGACTGGGCCACACTTGACTGGTAGACTATCAGATAGCCTTTCAGAGGCCATGTTAGTTCACAGCGCAGCAGAGAAACATATTTCTTCCACTTAAAGAAAACTTCCTTTGTGTAGAAAATTCCATGGGTCGAAAATTAAAACTTCAAGGATAAAGGCTCCTGTGTAGTTAAAAGCCATCTCCTGTATTATTTTTATTTAAAAAAAAAAAAAACCCAAAAAACCTTCTTGAAAAGTGAGAGCCAGTACTATGATTTCAGGTATGACTTTCCTCCTGATCTGCTAGATTTCTACATGCTGGGAGTCCATATACAATTCCCTTCCCCCCATTATGCCTAACTGAAGCCCTCCTGCGACTGGATTTCAAAGGAGCAGGAAAGAGAATGAATCTAGCAACAAAGTAGGAAAAAAACCCAACCCGTTACGTTGTAAATGAGCCTCCAGGGTTTATCAAAAGCCATTTATCATACCCTAAATGAAAACAAGTGGGGGGCTGTGAAACTCGGGGGGGGGGTCCCATCCTCCTCGCCACCTGCTCGCCGGACCTGGCGCAGTTCCCAGGATTCTACCGCTGCCACCACCAGACCCAGAGAAACTCCTGGGCTCTCCCACAGCTGCCACTCGGCCCAGAGCAGCTATCTGACTCTGACGGATGATGCAGGACGTAGATGTGTTTTCTCTGCACTTGCCCCCCCAATGAATTTTTAAAGATTATTCAAATTTTTCTGCAGATCTGAGAGGGGTCCCCCAGGTTTGCAGGAAAATCTGTTGTATGTCAGTATGGCCCCGATCTACGGATTTAGATATCTGCAGACTGGGCCACACTTGACTGGTAGACTATCAGATAGCCTTTCAGAGGCCATGTTAGTTCACAGCGCAGCAGAGAAACATATTTCTTCCACTTAAAGAACACTTCCTTTGTGTAGAAAATTCCATGTGTCGAAAATTAAAACTTCAAGGATAAAGGCTCCTGTGTAGTTA